CTCCTCAAAAGGATGTCGTGTCATTCGGGTAACTGAAACCGAAGACGGGTGCTCTGATACATGCAGGCAGTGGCTAGTTCATGAAATTGCCGAGTTTAGGAGCAAGAATCCTAAAGGTGCAATAATGTTCTACGTTTCGTTGCCTTGCACTGGAGGATGCCCGTGGGGTTATGTCAACCAGCAAACTCCCAAAGGTGCTGCCAAAATTGAGGGTCACATCAAGCAATTCCGATCACTGTTGAGAGGGTTCAAACGCATTCTTAATGATGTCTATTCTGATGACGTTAGAGTTGCTTTTGAACTTCCCAAGGCGTGTCGTTATTGGAAATGGCCCGAACTATGGAGTTTCTTGACTAAGTATAAGATGAACAAGTATGAATTCCATGGTTGCAAAATCGGCATTAAAGGGAGAAATGGAAAACCTATGAAAAAGCAGTGGGTCGTTGCCAGTAATATGCCCACTATTTCCGTGGTTGAGTACTTCAAGTGTGATGGTTCTCACGAGCATGATGAAAGCCGTGGCACGCATTTGAAGGAAGCCGAGGGATACACGTTTGTTTACACCGATGCCGTTCACAATGCATTTTCTGAACATGCCACCATGCAGCCGTTGCTTTCGAGTGATTGTGCTGCATCTTCTTCGCAATGAGCAGCGCGACGGCTATGGCGCATCCCGCGAGGGATTGCGATCCGGCATGGAGGAGATGGATGGAGAATGTCGCTACCACTTCGGTATGCACGAACGGCAAATACGACGCTAACCTCGCCGCCACGGTCAAGGGCCTCCTCGAGACGACCTCTGCACAGTCGCTTATTCATACATGGGTGCAGGACCAACCGCACTACCTGCAATTGCTTACACCCCTGTTAACCATAAGCGAACCGTACTTGAAAGTCTTGCAGGCCCCACGTGTACCAGACCGCGACCTCCTTATCTATGTGACTGTCGCTGATTCAGGACTGTCCATGGTTTCGGGCAAGAAGCGCAAGCTTCGCAAGTACGACTTTGCGGAGCGTTTGGATGCCTCTCGCCCGGCGCGCGTCGGTGCATGGAGGTCTGAAATGCTTTGGGGCAAGGGCTTACAACAGCTGTGCAAGCGGTTGGCCGCCCTCATCGACGAGGTGCGTACCGACTACCCAGCAGCCACCATCATTCCGATGATTTACTGGAATGGCAACGAGCTCGTTGGGAAGGACGGCCTCGAGCCCACTGGTACATATCCTTACGACACCCCCATCGGAGACGCCGAGCAACTTCTTGCCGACTCCAAACGGCACCTGGCTTGGACCAGGGATTTCGCGGCCCGCAAGGGCTGCGCATGCCTTGGAGTCATGACCGGCGCGAAGAGCTATCTCTACGGCTTCTCTATGATTTGGGACCGTTTCATGACGGAAGTCCGGGATTACATCATCGGCGACCCCAACAATATGTTTGTGTATGTGGATGCCACACCCTTCGTCGAGACCATCGATTTGCTGGACAGGTATCATATGTGCTTCAGTGATGACAATATCACGAAGACCGTCCAGTTTATGCGCGGAACCCATCACATGTTGTATATGCTTTCCATCTTGCGCCCCGCAATGGGCAGCGTAGCCGAGCTGACACGTTCGCATGATTGCACCATGCGTCCGATCGATGTGCTCGAGGTGCGCACAGTCAACGTTGAGGTTCTCGCGTACTGCAAGGAAACGCTAACGAAGTGCGGTGTTTCATTGTCAGAGATGATCGGGCTCCCTTTCACTCGTGAAGAAGTGGAGGTCCGGCAGCCCCTCGATTTCGCCCCTGTCGATCCAGCCGAATTTGCAACTTCAGGTGAGCCTTCCGGTGCTGAGGTTTCCGAAAGTGTTCGCCCGGCGCAAGCCGGTGCAAAGGCGGCTGCGGTGGCACAGAGGGACGAGGCGACGAGCAGGCCGGTACCACTCGACTCCTACGGGAGGAACGTGACTGGGGGCCACTACGATTGCTGGGTTTATAGCATCCATGATGGCGTGAAGTATGTTGACTATGGTGAAGGCCCCAAACGACTCGAAATCATCAAGCAGCCTTCTTTTGATTACGACCCTTCCGTCAGGAGAATCAGCAACGAGTACCACAGCTCCCTGACGTGCATCTCAAAGATCCTCCGTGGTCGTGGGACAGAAGGATGTGGGTACGTGATGGATGAGGACGGCTACATGGACCTTGAAGATTTGGGACTCGCGCTTCGCAAGGAGCTGCGACATCCCATTCCATGGAATGTTCAGAACATCATGGACATCTTCAAGCTCGACAAAAAGCAGAGGTTCATTGCGCTTGGTTGCCCGGACGCAAGCCGGTGCGGAGACGTCCCATGTTCTCATTGGATTTTCAAGGTCAAGGCCTCCCAAGGCCATGAGGACTGGCTCCAAATCGACGACTCCGGCATCGCGAAGGAGTGGTACGTGAACCCGGGGACTGACCTCGGGCGCTGGTCTGGCTGGAACGTCTGCAGCAACCCTCCTACGGTGCTCTATCATCGCACCGATAAGCGGAACTTCGCCAACATTATGCGAAACGGACTGCTTCCAGGAGGAGGTGACCAGCACGAGACAGGCAGACCTCACGTTTTCTTCGCTGACATCCCGAGCACGAACGAAAATTACATCTCAGGTGTACGCGCTAACAAGCCCTTGGAAATACAGATCGACCTCAGGATGGCCATTCGCGCAGGGCTTTGCTTTTTCAAGACAGAGAGCGATGGCGTCCTCACGCGCGACAAGGTGCCCAACTACACGATTATTTCTGTATTGGACGCTACAAATGGCGATGTATGGTACACTCGCTCCGAGCAATCGGATGCAGGTGCACCAGCTGAGGCGACTGAGGATGAACCCCAGGGGATGAAGCGCGACCAAGCCGTGGTTGATGATCGGTCCACAGCACTGGAGCGCATTGCTACAACCCGCACCAATGTGGCGTCTCCTCGCGCCCCGCAAGGGGAAGCGAAGAGACAGAAGACTTTCAACCCAATGGAGAACGTTGAGCTGAATGTCGCCACGTGCCCGGTTTGCAACAACAGTGTGTTTGAGGGGCAGGTCCACTGCTCATCATGTGGGCAGTTGTCACCCCTCAATCCTCGCCTGTTGAAAGAGCAGCAAAAGAATTACCTTGTGCAGCGTTCCAATTTGCTGAAGAAGATGGGCCTCAGCACCCATGTCACAGCTCAGGCTTTGGCATCCGTGGGAACTTTTGACCTCCGCGAGGAGGATCGGAGTAGCATCCTTCGTGGCTTGAACTCCCCGGACAGTGCTGTACTTCAGGAGGCCCGGAAGAAGCACAAGTCCGCCCTGAAGAACGGCTACCACTCTCTGCTTGATCGCTATGAACTCGACCTTCAATACAGGGTTCGTATGCTTGAGGTGGGCCGTCGGGATGCGGATATGCTCCGCATGGAGTTGTGTGCAAACCTCGTCTTGGCTGCTCCAAAGCAGTCGCAAGCCCAGCGCACTCTGGGAGTTGGCCTTGGATCAACTTCGGAGTCGCGAATCGCAAGGCTCGCGTACGTGAAGACGGAGTTGGAGTTCTTGCCCAGTGAATTGCAGGATGCACTCAGTTCCCGCTGGATCATTATGTTCCAAGGTATGCCATACAGTCCTCGGGCTTTTGTGAATGTTGTCTCCGAGCAGGACAAGCCTCGCAGCATTGGGTGTTGGAATGGCATCATCCATTTGCGTAGCAACGCCCTCGAGGACCTCCGCCACGAAATGGACTGGATATTCAGCCAGAACAAGCGTTACGCTCAGAACTCGATCGAGTTTTCGAGGAACGAGAGCAGCAAGCACCTCGCTCGCAACGCCGCTCGCTATGCCGATGCAAGTGCTCCCGCCGCCCGCGAGGGTGAGCATTGGAGCCAAGGCAGCTGGCAGAACTGGTCCGGATGGAGCGGATGGGACAACAGTAGTGGAAACTACTCTACGTGGCAGTGGCGCTAAAAGCGCAACTGTCATGGTTTGCATGTGTCAATGGTTCCCCTGACCTCTCCCTCTGTTGTGTTACTGTTTGGCTGCTTTGTGAAAGGCCCCTTTAACACGCAGAGGGGGGTGAAGAATTTGATCGGTCAGTTTGGGGTTTTACATCCATTGCATCCGCAGTGTGGCTGTTCAAGCGTGAAAATCTGCGAGCAGCGCACTTGGACGGTTTGTTGTTTCCTTTTGGGCCCCAAACCGATAACCCTTGAATCTATAGGATCACAACTCATCCACAGCGGTCACAAAACCGCAATCGTCCAAGCATTGCTCATGGGGGTTGGGGGGGAGGGAGGGGAGGGAGAGGGAGCCCAAATACGCCCCAAATAAGGCCTTAAAAAGCACAAATTCCAATGAGAGCGTTGAGGGCACACACGCTGGCGTTGGACCTGTGCAATTGGAATGCAGCCTGGCTCTTGTGTGTCAAAAGTAATGCCCACTGCTTCCAGGTTTTCTTGAGGTGCTCGAGGTTTGTACCCCCATGTCCCGTCCAGGCTGGATGTTTTCCCGCGTGCTGCTGTTACAGATTGCCTGGATCCATGCTTGTTCAGACGTGCTATTCCGACATTCCGGGTTTGTTTGGGTTAAACTGGTTTCCTAGCAGCTGCCATTACATCTTGCCTGGATTAATTCCTTTCCGTCTGCCTAGACGTTCCTCATTCACAGGGAGCGATAGCTACGAAGAGGCCTTGTCTAGGTGAAAAGGCAGCGCTGGCACTTCTAGCAACGGTGCGGGCTTTCGGTCCGTTTTCTCTCCAGTTGTTGTGGGTTGGGCCTGCTGTTTCGCTCAGGTCCTCAAAGGCTGGTGGATAGCAACAACCCAGCATAAACAGCCCCAAGCACACGACAGGTAGGCAGAAAACCAATCCAGGTGATACGGATGCGTTTCCCACTTTGCCTTAAGCAAAAGCTTTCTCCGCGATGCGGACAACGCGGCCAATTCCTTCGCGGCTTTTGAGTGGCGCGAGTCGCGACCTCCTCCGGTCCTCCCCCGCCAGCTTCTCCCCCGCCAG